TTATAGAAACAATAGAATAAGTAAAATAACATATAATAGCTTGTTTCATACGTAGTATTATCTAATATTCCCAATAATAACATGAACCACAGTTGGTCATGTTTGGGAGGAGTAAATGTGACTAAAGACAAGTTTGGGTTAAGATGAAAAATTACAACAAAAAAAAATGTATGGTTTTACAAAAACATGTAATGAAAAATGATTTGTTCATTAAACGTTATAGTTTCAATTAACTCCATTTAATTTGTTACCATTCATAATACAATCAGAGGGAGTCATTAATTATTATCCAAACAAACCTCAAAATGTATAATAGTTTGGACCAAAAATGATCTTAAACTTCCAAGCCAAACCATTCTATATTAAGAAGTTAAACCCAAATTGTCAGAAGCTCGATCAATGAATATATAGCGTACTTGACCAAGGATGTCACACCTCATCAAGGCATCAAGCTATTTTGCACATCTCCCCATGTAACAAACATTTGTGTCCAAAAATAGACCCCTATTATTATTAACCTAATCAGGCATGAATAGGAAGACCAATAATTCAATGATCTAATAAAACCCTAGGTCCATATGTTTCTATCCTTCCATCCCGAATTAATTAGAACACTTTAATTAATTTCATACGGAGTACAATCTAAAAAATACTCCGTATTAAAGTGAAAAAAATGATTAAAATTAAATTTGTTTAAAAAAACGAATAGTTGTGGATGACATTCTTTTACTTTATTAAAAAGTAAAGAATTGTAAAATTATATTTTGAAAAGTCAAAAAGGAAAATGTGAACTATTAACCTATACTCCCCAAATTAGAATTCTTATTTAATTTCTTATGATCACCAATTTGATATTTTGACCATTAATATTAATATAACTATGTAAATGAATTTTATAAAAAATCATTTCAATACAAAACAGATGATATTAAATTTATATACTCCCTCCGTCTCATAAAACATGAGACTTTTACTTTTTAGGAGGGATCTAAGGGGAGTGTATTTTGGTATTGAATTTTCAAAAATGTCCTTTGATGTGATGGGTAAAAATATGATTTGATGGATAGATTATTAGTAAAAATGTGTGATGTGATAGATAGGGTATGAAAAAGTAAAGGGTAAAAGTGACTTTTTAATAGAAATGAGAAGTGTTTTGTGGGACGGATAAAAAAAGAAAGGAGAAAGGTTTCATGGGACGGAGGGAGTATTATTATTTAATACATGTTTTTTTTAAATTTTATGGTCAATACTTTTAAATTTTGACTCTAAGTTTTAACTTTCCAAACTTAGAGCAGATATATGAATACTCCGTATAATTTTAATGTGTTCTTAAAGTTAGAGGCTAATATGAGTGAAAAAATAAATTTTGGTGGTTATATAGCGTGCCTTATTGAAAAAGGTTAGGATGAGTGAATTGAACTAAGAGTGAATAGGAAAATGATTGAAAAGATAGAGAAAATAATTGGAAAATTAAGATTATTGTGTGCTCCATTGTATTTTAAATGAATTGGTTATGCCAAAAGAGAAATGACATTATGGTTTTGAAATGCCTAATTTAGAATAATGAAACAGCATTTTTTAAATAACTTTTTAATAATTACTTGATAAAATAAAATATCCAAGTTATTATTGAATAAATTCTAATTGAATTCTTAAAATATATTAAATTAAACATAAATACTCTTTTTTTAATTACCTGAGAGAGTATATAACACAAAGTAATGACGAACTACAATAACGAGTAGTAATTAAGACAGCAATTAATCGATAAAATATTGGAGGAAAAAAAAAAGAAACAGAAATTTTCACAGTACCATATTTGATGATGATGATGACTAGAGAATATTCAATGAATTCAAGAAGAAAACATTCCGATCTGAATCAACCGCCTCTAGTATGGCGGCGGTTGTCTAGCCGTCGGAGCCCAGATCACATCGGAGCTTGCCGGCGGCATATGAAAGCTGTACATCGAAATCCCACAAGCCCCGGCCGCCACGCCGCCGCCCCCACTCTCAACTCCTCCGGATGCTTCCGGCGAGTTCTGCCTGTCCGCTCCCTCTTTCCCTTCTAATTCGTCCCCCGGCAGCCGGTGGTACGATGGGTTGCTGAAGGTCGCCGCGATCAAGTACACCGTCGCCGCCGACACCAGCGGCCCCGCCACTGCCCCGCCCACCACCTGTCCCTGCGGCCCGCCTAAAGATATTCTGAACCCGTTCACTATCCCGTTGTTCGGCAGCGGGAATCCCGTGGTCGGATCTGGCCCCACCACCACCGTGGCGGAAATCGATAAGATCTCGAATCGGCCGTGGAAAGTCAGGGTGCCCCCTGGAGCGGCGGTCGAGGGTTGTCGGATCGTGACATTCGAAACCGAACCCGACCCGTTTAGTATACATACGCCGGTGTTCCGCTTCCGGCAAAACCGGATGACGGAGTCGATTATATCCACGCCGCCGGGGAGCTCGAATATGTACGGGCTCATCGTCGGCTCGGCGTCGCGCGTTATGATGACCGGCGGCTTCGGCTTGTTCTTGGAACCGGGAGGCCGGCCTCGCGGGCGGCGAACGACTTCGATCGTGGCGCCGTCGTTGCCGGAGGACGGCGTGTGGGTCGCCGGAGATACCCCCGCCGATACAGGCTGCGGGTTCTTCACGGTGGTTGTGGCTGTGGATTGAGCCGTCGGGCTGCGGCTGTCGGCGTCGTCGGAAGTCTGGCATTCCCGTGCGGCGGCAGTGAGGTGGAAAGGGTGGTGGAAGATGGGTTGGGCGTGAGAAAGCGGCGGCGGTGGCTGATGATATGGGTTGTGGTGGTGGTGGTGGAAGTTTTGGGTGTGATGAAGCTTAGCAGCAAACATAGTGTTGAACTGATCTTTCCTTTCTTCTACATATTCTCCTTTCATCTTACTATGAGTATAATATATAAAAAAATTGCTTAAAGAATTAATTTAATAAAACTAATCCAAGTACAGATTTTCTTTTGTATATATATTTATATTTATGTATACGGTAAAATCTATACTAGAATCTCTCTATCGGTGGGTGATAGGGGATGTATGGCACGTCTTTGAATATTTTATTTATATAAACATGTTTGTATATATACACACATATATTAACCTTTTTATAGATACAAACACATATTTAATGCTTATGTATGTACAGATATTAAATGTTTGTGTGTGTCTGTAAAAATATTGATGTATAAATAAAATACTTCCTCCGTCTCTAAATAAATTTCCTTTTTTGACTTTTTGAGGATTTTAAGGGAGAAATATTTTTGTGTTGACTTTCTAAAAATATCCTTGATGCAATGTGTAAAAGTAAGATGTGATATGTAGATTATTAGTAAAAAGATATGATTTGATATAAATAGAGTATGAAAAAGTAAAGGATAAAAAAGATTTTTAATGAAAAAAAAGTTTATTTGGAGATACAAATTCAAAAACTTAATCCATTAGGGAATAGGAGAGGGGGGGGGGGGAATGATATGGCCCTAGAGGTGCAGAAGGGGTGTAGCTAGGGGGTGGGAGACATTATTACATTTTACATTACCAAATTACCATAGGAATAAAAATGTGTGGGTGAGAATTTTGGGTTTTGGAATTTAGCTGGAAAGGAGAGAGAAATGAGGGTGGAATAATTTTGCTTGAAGGGGTGGGTAAAAAAAGAATGAACGTGTGGGGAAAAACTGGATGAGCTTAGAAACGAAGTAAAGACTAAAGATAGAAAGAAGACTATTGGCGCCGCTAGTCTTGACAAATGGGCTCCACACTCAATTATCATTATTACTCTTACTACTATTAAAATACACACAAAACAACCCCACTTTCAAGTTTCAACTTGCCCTCCCCCCATGCACTTCATTCGTCCAAAATTTGGGTTGGTTTGTTGAATTTTAGACATACGACAAGATCTAAGTTGTGAAATCGGAGAGAAATGATATAAGTTTTGAAATCTGCAATGAATTTGTTTAGAGAGATTTAAAATGATAGTTAGTAATAACTGAGGGTGACTGGCAACGAAGGTAGTTGGATGTGATAATGATAACCGACGGGAAATGATCAATGGTTGAAAGGGATATCAAACCCTCATATTGATATCTTCCAAATTCAGGAGATATCGAACCCCCCATTTGAACGATTTGTGATATCTGGAGATATCGAATTCGTTATCTTTTTAGCTTCACCAAACACCCAAAAAAAATTTGGATATCTGAAAATATCAAAACTCGAGCATATCTTGTTTGCTCACCAAACACACCCTTAGATTACACCTTTCCAAAGAAATGCAAAATGTTGTACTTTTTAACTTTAGTTTATTTATAAATTATTATGAAATAAAAAAAATAAATTATTATAAAAATAAAATTTATATATTTAGAAATTACATGAAAAATTATATAAAATAAATAAAAGTTATAGGAAGACCGAAATAACAATAGGTAGGTAAGTGTGTAATGTATTTTGAGAAGGAATGAGTTATCCTTTCACTCGTTTGTGACCCCATTACACAATTGTTTGTCTATGCAATTGATGAGGTCAAATTTGGATTCGTTTCTCTAAGTTGAGGTTATAATGCAATGGCGGATTCAACAATATTTTTATGACAATGGCACAACTACTGCACCAATGAAGCTCGAGTTCGGGCAGCACCTTGAATTTTTTTTTTAAACAGATCATTTAAAATTATAATGAAAAATAAATAAATTTCATATCAAACAAGTTCTCATATAAGTAAAACAAAACATTTCAAAAGTAAATACCAAGAGTATGTAAAACAAAATATTTCTGATGGGATTAAACCCAACAACTATGTCGTGCGAAGAATTAAAAAGAGAATAGGTTTGAAATGAGTAGGACTCTTGTGGGCTTGTATTAACTAAATCTTGCTTCCGAAATGGAGAGTCCACCCTCTATTTATAGTCTAAATCTACCACATACAAGGCATGCAATTTCGTGCGCTACATTATCGACAAATCATCCATCATGCATCAATCGTGGTGGAGAATCAGCCAGTAATTCTCCTGCAATCCCACTGCACGATTTCATACCGGGCCTAATCCGTCACCGTGGGCCGTCCTTCGATCTATTATGGGAGAAAGACCAAAGTAGGACTAAAACATCGAAATTATACCAAAATAGAAATTTCATATTTTTATTCCCGAAATCGGACTTACATTACCAAACATGGTCATATACATTACCAAAAAAGTATAGTAATGTGCACATATACACTGTCATATTACCACAGTGCGAAGTCTTGTTACCACAGTGCAAAGTCTTATTTTGGGGAAAAAATTAAAGTTATATTTTGGTACTTTTTTCTATATTTTAGTTCTATTTAGGGTGATTTCTAACCTATTATTTCATCTGATCCTAGGGCCCCGACCTCCCTTCGCTCTCCAACATGGACCTTATCCGTGTTGGACTTCGAAATTGTATTTTGGCCACCTAGGCTTATTCAATCGTCCGGATATCTATCAATTTCAAAGTAAAAAATATATATTGAATCACATACAAATTAATCATAACTTCTTTTTATAATAAGTACGCCTCCGTCCCTGAATATTTGTGCACTTTTGATTTTTCTTGTCAAAATTAGTAAACTTCGACGTCAATTTAAATAAAAATGATATTACATATTGATACAAAATAGTTTTATTAGATTTATTATATCAAATATTTTTAAAATATTTGAGAGCTTTGAAAAACTTGCAATGCTAGAGTTTGGATGGAATGCTAGAGTTTGGATGGAAGAGTGGGATCATTTCTCCCTTAAAAGTGTGGACTAATTTGATCCTAGTTGGGGTACACTTTTTGCTCCAACTTTCTCTGAATTGAAATTCGTTTGCACTTTTGCGATCAGACGGTCAAACTTCATCCAACAATATAATTTTTATATTTATTTATAATACTTTTTTTGATAATGTATTTTTGGATGTTGACTTTGAAAGAGTCAAAATTGATTCAATTAAGTTTTTATTCAAAAGATTCTCATATTTTATTCATATTATTTATTCTCATGATTTATTTAAATAAATCATCTCAAAAGTTCACATCATAAATTAAATTCTTTATTTATTTTTTATTTGAGTCTGTACTCTGGTTTCCAATCAAGATCACACATACAATTACATTTTTGATTTATATCCATGAGGTTTATCCAGTTTGTGTTATTGGATATCAAACATATTTCATTTCAATCTAGAACCCAATAATAATTTATTTTAATCAAAACAAATTTATTTAATTGAATAATAATTTTACGGTGTGTTTTCGGGTGTTGCAGGACTACTATTATCACGAGAGTTTAGCGTGCAGCTCAACCCTGCATTTCTCGTTCATGTGAAATGCCTCATTCGGGCTACGTAATGGTCAATATTGATGCATCAGTTGGTTTTATGGATGATTTTGAGGTTCTTGGTTTTATTGCTCGTGTCCATGATGGACACTTCATTATGGCATAGAGTATTCAATGTAGGTTCTTTGTGCACGGTGGCACCGGTCAAGCGTTCTTGCCCGACTGAATAACCATGATTTACCTCCTCCACCATCTAGGGGTGGGTTCGGTTTTGGCGGTTTGGTTTTCACCCAAAACCAAAGACAAAACGGAAGGTAAATTGGCAGTTCGGTTCGGTTCGGTTTTGCATAAAAAATATGTAAACCGTTGGTTATTCGGTTCGGTTTTATACGGTTTTTATTTTGGTTTTTTCGGTTTATAAAAGTAGAAATTTATAAGCATTAAAAAATAGTAAAAATATTAACTCGATGAAACAATAACAATATGTAGTGTGAGCTTTGGTTTTTTTGTTTGATTTTTACACAAAAAACAAAAACCAAACGGAAGGTCATTGTTCCTTTCGGTTCAATTTTACATAAAAAATATGTGTTGAGTGCCCAACAAACATTTAGAAGATTCCAAATACTTCCAAAGAAATCGTATTTAAAATCAATTACAAAGAATTTAGGTTTTTTGGTATAATACTTTCATTTTCATAATAACATCAAAGTATTTGTTATGTAAATATGTAAATTACTCGAATCAACTTTTAATGTTAATATAATTCAATTTTAGGATTAGCTATTGGTGTTTATATTCTTAGGTTTTTTCAAAGTTTATAATAATATGGCTAGAATGTTTAATTAATAGTTAAAAAAATAATTTTAATCGACTAGTAATTTATTTGCGTTTATATTTCTATAATTTTTTTTACATATCACATATATTCATATAAATAAAGTGAAGTATCTAAGAAAGTTCGGTTTATTCGGTTCGGTTTTTAAAAGTGAAAACCAAAACGGAACCAAACACTAACGGTTCGGTTCGGTTTTTTTTACATTCGGTTTTGGTTTTTTCGGTTCGGTTTTTTTTCTAGTTCGTTTCGATCGTTTTCGGTTCGGTTTTCGGTTTCTCCAACCCAGCCCTACCACCATCTCTTTCGGGCCAGGAGGTGGGGGCACCTGGGGTGGGTGATTCCACCTTTGGACCGAGTATCAGTGTAGGGGATGTTTTGGCACTAAATAAGTAGAGGTTATTGTAATGAAAGAGGCACTGAGTTGAATGATATCCAAAGCTTGGCCATGGGTTATTGTGGTGACTATTTGCAAAAAAAGTTATTGATTTTCTCTCTCATTCTGATAGAAGTTTATCTTATTTTAAATCCATCATTGATGATTGTATGTGCCTCCAGTTGTCATTGTGGAAATCTCAGTTTTAGACTTGTTAATCGCTCTTCTAATGAAGCGACACATTTGTTGGCACATGTTACTCATTCTATAACAGGTGTTGGTTGGGGAGTAGGTGAACTCACCTCCTAGCTTTCATACTATGGCTATCATCTTTTGGGTTTGAAAAATTAATTTTTAATTATTTCTATCTCATAGTTTTTTTCAACTATTTTCAATTTTTTCCAACAACGACTTAAAAAAGATATTTATATATGACGAATATACAATAACATTATAAAATTTATGAATTCTTTTGTGTCCAAAATTAGAATTTCTTAACACATTTATTTGGGTAATCATTTATTTAAGTGAGTTTTTAACACTTTAATTCTTCTAACATTTTTTAACTCTCAGTTTTTTCCAACTTTTTCCTGTTTTTCCAATTTCTTTCAAAATTCAATTATGAAAATCCAACCTAAAAGAACATTGCCCTGATAATGTGCTTTTCAAAAAAAAAGGAAAAGAAATTAGGATCTATCATCGGAGTAAACGAAGGGAGTACTTTGTTTCCTTGATAAAGCAAAAAAAGAATGTTTTTTTTTAATTGTATAAACATCCCTTGTAGTCCGTAGAGTAAGTACAGAGCGAGATACTCCGGTTCTGAGGGGCTTTGGACATGACACTCCGGTTTAACCGAGCTGAAGCTCCCGGCACCTCCTTTCGCCGCCGTACGCCGGCCGATCCGCCCGCGACTTGCTCATTTTTCTTTCTCTGCCACCATCTGCACCTTATTCCGATCTAGGGTTTCGGCTTCAAATTTCATCGGGTTCTCTTTTTATGTGTTCGGCGCGAGCTACCTGATTGATAGGAAGCCGCGATGTTTGGCGGTTTCCGGCGGATGTTTCGATCTGAATCGTTTCATGAATGAAGGTATTCATTCGTACACCGGCAATTGTCTTTTTTTCCCAGGGTTAGACAAAATTTTCCCGTTTTCCCCAATATTGGATTTCACCATGGTCAATGCTAAGAGTTTCATATCTCCTTTTAAGTCCACGTGTGAAATGTTATCCTTCTCGCCTATTTTACGGGCCTTCAAATGAATTTTTTTGCAAAAGACCTCGTCTTTTATGATATCAATAGACTTAAAAACCACTTAAGAATTTCCCTAATGCTAAATCCACTCCATTTAACTTTTTTCCATTTGCAAGGAGAGTTGAAAAAAATGTAAAAATTAACTAAAATACCTTAATTAAAGTGAGTGCAAGATATTAAATGTTATAGATGAAGTGTAATAAATAAAATAAAGTTAGTTGAATGTTAAAAAGATAATGAGAATTTTTTTTTGTAGACAAACAAAAATGGCATTTGGAATTATATATGAATGATGATTGGGGGTAATAAATGGAAAATTTTGTAATGAGGTTGATATAGCCAAATGAATGGTAGATTTAGTAATGACCTCACTTTATACATTAGCATTGTGTTTGGTCGTTATTTTAGTGTCATCGCTTATTTTGTGTAATTCAATTTTCCTTAGATCAGACAGGAATTTGAAAAGACGTTATCAAACGAGTTAAAAAGTGCGGAGTGCACACATGTTCAACGATATTACAAATTCATATGAGGGGTCCGAGGGCGATACCCTCGGTAGCAGGGTCTAAGGGGCAGCAGCCTCTCGCGGGGACCAAGGGGCGTCAGCCCTTCGTAGGGTCAAAGGGGCAGAGCCTCTGCAGTTTGGACATTATTGCTTTGTGAAAATTCTTTAGATTTTCGTGAATGAAGTCCGAAACATTAAAAGATTTTTACGTATGGATAAACGTCAAAACTAGCCATAAACCGCAAAAATTTCTTCGCGTGAACGTTTACCTCATTAAGCGAACGTTCATGGACTTTCGATTCTATCTCTTTGCGCGAACGATTTCATCCTTACGTGTTCATGTCTAATCAAAGAATTTTCGACTCTATAAATAGAGGCTCGTAAGTATTGTTGAGACATTACATTTCGAAGTGCTTGTTCTTGATTAACGACTTATCTGATTAAAATATTTTGGTATATATCAAAATAACTTTGATGTGAAAGCGTTCTACGCGATTCATTCAAACTATCAAGCCTATCGCATCTTGTTCTTTGTTCATCAAAGTCTAATAATGCTTCACAACGTTCTTCCTTCTCCCATATTTCTAAGATTTGGTTCATGGATTTTTGTAGGGTAAGGAAAACAAAATAGAAGGAAGACCTTTTTCCTTTGTTTGGTTAGCGAGGAAAAGTAGAATGAAAACATGAGAAGACAAAATATACACTAAGATGATAGAAAATCAAATTTCTCCCATTTTGGTGAGGAAATTGAGAGAAAATTATTAGGGGTATATACGAATCGAATCGAAGCAAATATATCACTATTCGATTAAAGTGATATGTATTCGAATTCGGATTCGTATATAATTCGAATTTTAAAAAATATTCGTATTCGATAGATATTTGACGTATTTGAATTCGTATTCGAATACTCGAATTCGAAAATATTAGTAATTTTTTTCTTAAAACAAATTTCTTTATAAATTATAATATTTGAATATATATAAATTTATATGTACACAAAAATTTAATATATTAAAATATGTTAAAATATGTACACAAATATTTAATATATTAGAATATATAAAAATTTATTTATAAGTTATAATATTCGAATAATTTGAATAATAAACGAATCGAATCTATTAATATTTGTATTCGAATTCGAAAATAATTCGAATCTAAAATATGATTTGTATTCGGATTCGAATTCGAATATAGCGAATACGAATCGTCCTTTTCGAATACGAATCACGAATCGAATACATTTTATTTGATTTGCATGCACCCCTAAAAATTATTTTCTTTTCATTTTTTTTCTTCCAAATTCATTGAACCAAACATAATGTTTGACAATTTTGAAAAATCATTCTTGTTGATGTGACAATTTTACCGATAAGTGTTGGGTGAAAAACGTCTTAACGTAAATACTTTTTGTCTGAGAATCAACCCCCTTCAATTGTACCCCCCAAATTTAGTTGACTTTGGAATAAAAAATAAAGTCGAGTCAGACCAAGGTGAGAGATTTACCAAGAAGTTAAGTAGGATATGATCCGTTAATTTTTCGAACGGAGTACCGTAAAAGCTCCCATTAGAACTCGGATCATAGGATGACATTCGGCTCCAATTTGAACCCCTCCCCATTGATTTACGCCGTAGTTGAATCATAGGCTAATGATATGCACCCCAAACATAACTAGATCGGCATGTTTAACTCGGTGAGACTCATGCATACAACTGATATAAGACAATATTGCCAACATTTCCAAACAAATGGCAAGATTCATTATTATTGGAAAACAAAAAGAGATTGAATTGATTGTAGACAATGACTATAGTTAATTGATAGATGTATACTCACGAGACATTGAGTAATGGGAGGTTATGTATGGGTTAATTAAATAATTATAATTATGTAGTGAGTCAAGATCATATCTTTTATGTTTATGATTTTTTAATGCTTTGCACATTCTATTTAGATATATTGTGTCTTTCACACCCATCTTACTTGTCCATATATGTAACAATTAGCATGTATTGTTTGTCCTATGTATATTCCTTTTTTCTATCTATTTTTCCCTATTATTCTTTTCTTTCTTGGCTTTTATACTATTCTTAAATCCTAAGTCGCCGCCACACACCCCATACATTGACCTTTGTTACACGAAACATGTAGTAAAAGAAAACATAAAATGACATTACAATGTGTGTTAATTTTTGACTTCAAGAATATTGTTAAACACATATGGAGTATATATATAATATTGTCAAATTGACCAATTTCATATTATGAAATTGGCCACTAATGTAAAACAAAACCGTTGTTAAAAACTTAAAATAAATCCATTAAAGTTACTACTTGTATTTATTCCGTATTTATTTTCACTCCAAAGAGTATAGCTCGGAGTTTGGACGTTTCCAATGGATTTATGCCACTAATCACAAAAGAATAAAGCTTTTGAGAATTCCATTTTACACACCAATAGACAAATAAAAATAGTAGTTGTCTCTACAATACAAAGGATTAATGTTTGTGTTTGTATTTGATTTACAAAGTGGGATTCCCCTAACATCTCTCACCACAAAATCTTATGTCTTTAAAGTTTATGTATTTTATTCACAAATTAGTAGAGTTTAAAAATAAAATATATATGCTTGAAAGATACATTAAAAGTTTTACAAAATAAGACAAATATTTTATATTTTATACTCCGTATTTTATTACACTAAAATGGTGAACTACCAAAAATCAAAATCGAACCAATACTAACGAACAGAGGTAGTATTACATTTTAACATTAAAATAAATCTTTTAAAAACACTAAAATTGAGCCGCCCTTGAATAATGCCTAAAAATTTTCTTGGATACATAATAACAGGGAGTAGTGGGGAGTATTGAAAATGACCAGATCTTCAAAAAAAATTAGATCAAATTTAATCATATCAGGCGTACAAGACGCAGTCTAAAGCTAAATGGTGTGGCTGCCGATCTTCTCGACCGCCATGCAAGAGTGATGGGGGTGTGCCCACAAGGGTAGCTCCATTAGTTCTGAGAGGGGTAGATTTGCAACAAGGAGCAGGGCCGAGTCCCCACGACATGTAGTACGAGATTAATATTTTGAAATACCTCCCAACACATATTCATCGCACCGGGTGTGGGGCCCTTGAAGTTGGGAATTCAACCTTTTTGCAACAAGAATGAAGGGGATGTGCGTGGCCGCATGGGGAAGCTTCAGAATCATCGGGGCGGGGACGGAAGAAGAAGCGAAAAGCTTCGGGGTGATCTCTCTCTCTATCTCTCTCTTTCTTAAATTCGCCAAACAATAAATTTGACATTTTAATACATGTCCGGAATTCAAAAACTTGATTTCCAAATGAAATTCACTATCAAATATTCAAAAACACTCTTAGTCAAAATAGGTTGACAGTATTATCCCTTTCTTCATAAAATTCTAACCAGTGTTTCTCTAAATAAAATTCTTTTCAAAAAAACTCTAACCAAGCACTTTTTATTATTCAACATTCATTCTCCTACACTCCGTAGTCAAATCATGAATCAACATGGAGGGAGAAAATAGATGAAATTTTGGCATTTCTTGCTTAATATACTCTACTTTTAAGAGAAGTTTCTGACCAAAATAACCCAAAGTTGGAAACTAGTATCTTAGGAAAATGGTTTTCCTCAAACAAAACCAAACACAACATATAGAGCTAATTAATAAAGCTGCAACCCCTACCCTAATGCTTTAGATTAAGATGTTCAAGGTCATGGCAAATCAAGAACGAACTAGAAGATGATGTTTTAAGGGATAGGAGTACCGGCCGTTAGTTTCTTGTTGAGAGCCAAAGATCCATAAATGCATATGGATATAGTTTCTGGACAAGGAGCAAGCCGCAATAAAGACCTGATCAGTTCAAAAGAATTCTTCAATCTTGATACGTAGAGCTCTATCTTCAAATGCTTGACAGAATACAGGGGAGGACGGCGTTTCATCCTCAGCATCTCCGGAATGATCACATCCTTTGGTAACAAAATGGAAAACACATAACCAACAATGTAGAGCCAAATAATGTCAAGTGATCTAACATGACTTTGGGTGCAAACACGCGAAGTTATGAAGTGATATTTTAAAGACTATTTTTTTTCTAAAAGAAGATTATATATACTATTTCAACTACTAATAAGTTAAGAATAAACTTGTATTGAACAAAAATGAGGGGAATCACGTCCTCCCAATTCTCATCCGCTCCCCTCCTTTTAAAACTAAGCACACCCTTGATGAATGAAATATCATACAAAGAACATAGCTTACCCTTTCGCTATCCACACAAAGCGACAAAGTTTCAGTCCAACGTAACTTTGCAAGAAATTTAAGTAGTCCATTAAACCACTTTTCTCCTCGATTGTCAAGTATCAAGTCAATGTAAGCATCTTTCAACTTGAAAGTTGGACCCTTGCACACAAAGGTTATAGGATCTATTGAATCATGGGAGATGAATTCGAGGTTGGGTGTATCCATTCTAACCTTTGTCAAATCCTTACAAACGAAATGGACCGGACTTTGACTCGAAACCACAGTGTGATACAAATTATGACATTTGTCCAGTGATAGACTTCTGAGCATCGGATGGTTATTCAGAACCCGTGTCCCAAAAAATAGTAAATAAAGAGAGTAATGTTTTTTTAAAAAAAAATCCGCATGGAAAAAAATAACAAAAATAATTTGACATTGTTACAATCAATAAAAATAAATCGCGCCACACCTTATACACTAATTATTATTATTTGAGGAATATACACTAAATTAATTGGAGTTCAAATTGTCTTCTGCCTCACAATAATAAGCCAGGGGAAAAAGGATATTATCATTTCATCTATTTATCTAAATAAAAGCAGAATGAAAATTGGGTTAAATTAATCGTTGCCATCGAAAAATTATTTCAAGCTGCAACACCAATTACAAACATGTAAAAATAGAACGATATGAAAGGTGAAAATTGTACTAAATAGGACTAAAACATAAGTCATTTTCTAATGTAGGAAAACTTTTTTATTCCTTAAATAGGACCTAATAAAGTCTAATGGAAGGAATAATGTCCAGTGATGGTGGACCTTTACTTGAATAATGACTAATGGATAATGACCAATGGTCCTACATTGAGAAATAAAAACATACTCCGTAAGATCTTATATTGAGAAAATCATTATGTTTAAGTCACTGCTGAATAACATTGTTTCAAAGTTCAACATAGAGGAAAATGGATAAAAGGTGAGAATGGTTGAAAACATGGCATTCCTTGCTCAGGAGTGGACAATGTATTCTACTCATAACAGTGGTTTTTTTAACCAAAAAACAGATAGTTGGAAACAACTGCCCCAAAGGAACAATTTTTGCCAAAACAAAACACATCCTCGAGCTAATAAAGATGCAACATCCTACACTAATGCATCAGATTAAGCTGTTCAAAGTCACAGGAAAAACATACGCGTGCCAAAAGATTACTTGTAACCTGAATAATATAGCAACGAACGAAAGTCGCCTTTCATTCAAAAATAAAAATCACCCGATACAGACTTTGGCAAGGGAGTGCCTCCAAGAGTTTACAGACACAGATTTCTAGCAACCACATTTCTTCTTGCCCCTCAATGGCTTTTCATATGTGAACTGGAAAGGCAGAAACAAAAGAATTTTAACACAACTGTGACCTCACACCCATACAGTCAGGGGTACAGATGTCATATTGCATACCAAATTTTTACATACCATTTATGTTTATCGTTCAAGATTTTTGCGCACATAAGTTGCCCAAACATATAACTTCCCACCAAGGTAAGATAAGGATCAAAAGTAGCGAATAGAAAAATGATGTTTTACATGATAGGAGTACCTCGAGTTTCTTGAGAGCAGAAAATTCAGTACCGCATATGGATATAGCTTCTGGACGAGGAGCAAGCCACAAAAGAGACTCGATTACTTGAACAGGATGCTTCAATCTTGATAGACGGAACGCTACATCCAGATGTTTGACAGCATACAGGGGAGGACGGCAGTTCATCCTCACCGATTCCGGAATAATCAAATCCTTAGTTAAAACAATGGCAAACATATAACCATTATATAAAAAAATAACTGAATAATTGATACAACGTACATAAAAATGTAAAGTAGATCCAAATAATGTTAACATGACTTGCACACACACAAACAGAGAGACACTTTAAGGTGTGTTTGGTAGTAGGGGTTGAGAGGTGAGAGAATGAGAAATTTAATTAATAGATAGCTTTTATATTAATTTAACTTGCTTGATAATTGAATTGTTTTTCCAAAAGCATGTATTACTCCATATAAGTTATAGAGTGATATATTAAGGACTACCTATTTTTCTTTTATCTGAAAGAAGATATTGTCAAAATGTCAAATATTTCAATTAATCAGCAAAAGATAAACTGTATCAAACCAAATGAGGGGAATCCACTCCTCCCCTTCACCTCCAAAAGCGGCAAACCTAAAGTGAACTCTAATCCCATCCCCTACCCTAGAAACTAAGCACACCCTTAATGAAAGAGAAAATCCATTGGTTACCTTTTCGTAAGCCACCTCAAGTGACAGATTTTCAGTGCATCTTAGCTTTGCAAGAAATTTAAGTAGTCCATTAAACCACACTTGTCCTCGATAGTCGGGTTTCAAGGAAATGGAAGCATTTTTCAACTTGAGAGTTGGACCCTTGCACACAAAGGTTAAAGGATCTTCTCCATTATAGAAGAAGGATTTGAGGTTGGGGGTATCAATTCTAACCTTTTGCAAATCCCTACAATCACCAAAAACCAAATCGACTAGATTCTGACTCGAAATGTCAACATGATACACATTAGGACAGTAATTCAATGCCAGACGTTCGAGAATTGGATGATTATTCAGAATGTCATCCAAGTCATCGTCATCTAATTGAGGGCCATGTAGGTCCAGCAATTTCAGTTTCTTACAAGCCCCAAAATCAAATTCAGGATCATACTCGCCATAAGAAACATATCTAAACTCACAAAGATTCGGTGCCTTAATCTGAATCACTTCCACTTCTCCCCCACAGTGCTCAAAAACACTTTCTCAAGTTTAGAAAGACTGAAGATTTCTAGTCTCGTCAATCCGTCACAATCTTTCAGAGATAATTTTTCAAGGTTAGGGCAACTAGCAAGCAAATTCACCATGAACGCATCATCTGCATTAACATATTCAAGGCGTATTTCTCGCAGACAAGGTAATTGGCCATCCACCATGCATGATGAGCTCAACTCACAACTCACCAATTTCAATTTTTGGAGGACTCCGGAGACAAGAACACTCTTGGGAAAATTATATCTAGCATCTCTCCGTGAATGAATTTGCAATCCCAACTCTTTCACACCGCGTCTAACAGCACCAGCAAGCCAACCATCCAAACGAGATTTCAACTCTAAATCAAAACCCGGAATGTATATATTAAGCTTATCCATACCCATACAAGATCCTAAAGCCCGATCAAGAAAGGCATAAAAACTTGTTCTCACCCTAAGAATCTTCTCCCTCTTCGCTTTATGCGCATCATCCTTATCATCACAATTGGGCAACTGTTCATTCATTGCAGATGAATGAAAGCAGTGCCCAGGCAAATCTAAAGTGGGCAGGCTTTCCGACAATGCCCGCCAACGGCTTGACAAAATGCTAGTTCTAACAGCTTCCCGAGTTTCTACAAATGAAAGTATATGCTACTTAATTGAATCCGGTAGGTTAGATATTCTATCAGGTTCATCAGAGTTCGTCTCGTAACGAATCTTCTTCTTCTCCGCGATCATTTCCATCTGGCAAGTGCGCTGCTACATCAAAACACGATTGCATGACATGATCACAACAGTAATCTCGATAGAGAATGGCAGAAATTATGAGAAATATAAGATTGAAAAAAATTAGGGCTTCACCTATAAAAAGTATGGGGGAAACTTGTGTTCAAAACCCTAGAAGCGCCAAATCCTTGGCGGGCAACTCAACCCACTGAAATCGAATTACACACCAAAGCTCTCCCGTTTGGTCCTGCCGCCTGCGGCATCTAACCTAAAAAATCTTTTTTTATATATTTTTTTAAGTAATAAAAAAAATACTTATTTTGTTTGTATATAAGTCATGATGGACATGGACTTTTGTTCGTGTCCTCAAAATCACGTGGTTCGTAATTTTTTCGAATTTCAATTATAAAGTCTTGAGTTCAATTTCTAATGGAGACAATAACTATTGTTGCTACAAATATGTCATTCAGTTTATTATGCATTTACAGATAATTTTTTATTATAAAATAATCTATTTATAATCATACTTTTTTTTATATTTAATCAATTTCTTGGCTTTTTTTTTTTTAATTTTTTTAAGTTTTTAAAACATGTTTAGTTTTTTCCACTCCTAATTTTTATTTTTTATCACATGAAATTTTTATTTTTATCACATCTTATTATTACAAGTTTTTAATTGAAATAAATTTAAATCATTTGAAATTTTATTTAGTTTTGTGTAGTGTGGTGTTTTTGTTGGAACTAACAGAGTAAGTTGTTTAATTCGAAATGGTTGGGGACAATTTTATAAAAGACTAGTTAAAAAAGAGGCATAGAAAGCCTGATTTAAAGACAATTAAAACCTTTTTTAAAAATTAAAAATAGAGTTATAAACATAATAACACGCGTCTAACTGATTTATAAAGTAAAAAACACTTACTAAGATTTTTGACCAGCTTATAACCATGTTTTTTTAATCATTCTTTTTCAGTTGAATATATACATGATATTTGAATTAATCGAGCTTTTTCTCTAATTTATGTTTAGTTGGCATATGATAACTTTAATTTTTCATTTGTTTTACAGACTGGGTAACATAAAATTAGAATTTAATTACACAACCGACAAACAACTCAATTAATTAATTTTGTAATAATGGGCCGTCGGTCTGTCATTACGCAGGCCCATTTCTGTACCAAATCGCGCATTGAACTGTAGGCCACGACGCGACAACATGGAATAGCCCAATGACCGATTTTCCACCACGGCCTTCAAGGCCCGCCTAAGCGACGATCCAATATTCTTCTCTCCATCGCCGGTGCCGCCGCCAAGCTCGCTGTCGTGCCACCGGACCACCACGTCCACCTTCGTCCGCCCTCCGAGCGTCGCCATTTCCGCCATGGCCACCTTCCCGTTGGCCGAATGAATCGCATCAGACAAGTCCTGGATCAACCCTGGCCTATCGTCGCAACAAATCGTCGCTTTCATTGCCGACAACAGCTCTCCACCCTCTTCGCCTCCGGTGAAGGGAGCCACCGCCACCTCATCATTCTCTCCCGGCAAGAATAATGATGATTCCGGAAAACCGGTCTCTTCCATCACAGCCGCCGCCGCCATCTTCCTCAGCTCCTTCAGCTGTTTAACAGCCTCCGTCAGTACTCTCGGTTTATCCTTCTGCAAATATTAGGTGAAAACACTAAGAGTTCCTCTTTTGAGCTTTTTCTTTTATAATACTTTCTTCGTCAAAATTACTTGTAAATCGTTTTTAACTTATAAGTCAATTAATATTCCCTTCGCCCCAATTTAAATCGTCTATTTTGATTTTTGGGCATATTTAAAGAAAATAAAAAATAAAGTTGATTTTTTGAAATTGATATTACTTTTTAGGAGGGTGATGATGAATTAAAAGATAAGGTGAAGAAGAGTGACTTATTTTAGGGGTAGTTTAGATATTTTATTTTTAAAAGTTTAAGAAAACAACTAACAGACAACTTATTTTGGGACGGAGAAAAAAGGTAAACAGGCGATTTAAATTGGGACGGAGGGAGTAACATGTTTGTAAGTTGATTTATAGTAAAAAAAAAGTGAGTCTTACCTACTTATTTTAAGTCATCTTTTCATCTTTTTTGTTTCTTTATTTTTGACCAAATTGTGAATGTCTTGAACTGAATATAAATCATTCAAGTCATTTACTTTCATAATATAATATTTAACTTATTTATCAACAATAAACCAACAAGCATGCTACAGAGAAACAACTTCGTAGTTGTCTCTAACATTAAGTGTTTTATAGTGGAAAATTATTCCAAGAATCTCCAAGTGTAGCGTTTATAAAATGAATCGATGCCATTAGAAATGAGTTAATGCCATTAATCGAGTCAATATCACCCAAAAAAATGAATCCATACCATTAATGGTTTTTTGGGATTAATTAGAACTTACTTTAGGGAGATGAGGGAAGAGTTTCCTGAGAGTAGAAATGTGAGAATTAATCCTCTGTCTGCGTTCGCCTTCAGCTTTGGCATGTCTATGAGCTGCTTCTTTAGATTTCTTCTTGGATGGGCAATATGGATTATCATGGGAGACTCCATTTTGTCTCCCAATAACACCTATGGCATGCACCATTGAATATATTCTATCATATATATTTCCCAATGTAGTGTTGGATGAATGATATTATCCATGAGCTTTTTTTAGATTGAGGGAGAGGGAGGGGCATGTATAGTATTTATTATGATTGGGATTTATCATCAAATCAGAGAATATTTTAGTAATAAAAGAAAATAATAGTGTAATAATGGTTTTATTTGATCATTTGTATGGCTTTAATGGAAGCAAGAGTGAATGAGAAAAATATTTTGGAAAGACAATGTATAGTCTTATATAGTCATATGGGAGACTAAAACATGGGGTCTAAACTCCTGATGAGTTTCAATACCAAATTTTAAAGTCTGAAGATGTGATACAATTCAATTTGAGTTAAATTCTTGACTCTCTTTGCTCCCAAAATTAATTCACACTTTTTTATCCGTCACAAAATAACATTCAAATATCTCAACATTCTTTTTGTACAAATAGAATAAACCGTTCTTAACCATCTTAACCTTCCTTTTACAAATAGAATAAGTTGTTCTTAATAATTAGCATCTCTTTCAATCAAATTTTAATTATCACTTTTTACTATTCAACAATTTTTCCAACTAGGCGAAGAAAATCAAACCGCGAACTTAATTTGGGGTAGAAGGGAGTCAAGACGGTACAATCTATTCCACTCTTAAGAGAATAGTCTTTTGGCCAAAAAACATAAAGCTGAAAAATTACTCGTTTCCCCAAAACCAAACACATCCTAGAGCTAAAAAAGCTCCAACCCCAACAACGATACTTCAGATTAAACTCTTCAAGATCATGCAGAAATTTATACATACCAAGAGATCACTTGTAACATGAATATGGTATGTGCTTCCCCATTTTTTTTAACAAAACTATCTACCATGTAAGGTCAATTCTCAATTCAACCATGCTAAGGGTGCACTCTTTAGTGTATCCCAAATTGTACTTCAAAGATATGCACACAAATTTACCAAATTGTGCTAGTGTGAACCATCATACTAGCATCACACTAGTAACTTAAATAATTCTTCTCCATTCAAAAATGGTATGTGCTTTACAAGGTGGACACCAACTTGTACACCACTCTTTCCTCCACCACAAATATTTTGGTGTGGATAAAATATTAGATCATGCTGGAAACATCATGGGTATTTCCATGGGTAACAATCACATAAGATTTCTATATACATAGACAAACGAGGTCGGCCATGAGGATTTGGTGGCCCTGAATGAAATGAAAAAGATGACCCTTGATTTTAACAAATTAAATTGTATAAAATATTTTATCTAAATACAACTATTAATATTATAGTAATACACATAACAAAACTACATTATTACAATTAAATATCGTAATAGATACCTTAAAATTAAGTTTTACATTTTTTTATTAAAAATTATAATATATATATATATATATATATATATATATATATATATATATATATAGACACACACACACACACACACACATATATATAAAGATTAAAAATGTTGGGCCCTTGAAAAATGGGTCTAGGCCGGTAGGCCACCTTGGGCTGACTTTGCAGACGATAATTATTTGTTTTCATAAATAAATGTTGATTTTGTCTGTATAAACTATCCGCGATTGTCATCCGTGTGATTGTGGGAACACCCATGGTGGATTCCTAATATTTTTGTAAAATATTTGGTGAATGGATTGAAAAATGTGATGCTGCTCTCACTAGGGTTGTTTATCTTTAGGTCCGGATAAAAAAAACCAACCGAACCGGACCGCTAGCTAGGTCCAGACCGAGCTCGGACCAAATGGATATCGGGTAGGTCATCGGTCCAAAAAAGTTAGGTATTCGGTTCTCGGTCCGGTTCGATCCAATGCAAACCCAAAATGATTTAGGTCCGGACTGGTTGGACCAAATGGACCTAATAACCCTATTAGATCTAAAAGACCTAAATACTAAAACTCTATTTGTATATATCTTAATTTATTTAATTAAAAAAGCTTTTTGTTAAGTAATTTAAAAAAATAAAAAAAATGTTTCACTTTAGTTTTTATAATTCTACATAGAAGTAGTCCATGTTGTGTATGTATTTTTAGGTTTTATTTTTTTTATTTTTTCCTATTTGCAAGCTACAAAATAAAAAGCTTAAAATATACTCCGTATTTAGTTGATCAAATTAATTAAAAATATTTTTTATTCAATCCAATTGGTCCAGACTGGTTCGGTCCTATATATTTCGGTCCGGTCCGATCCAAACCTGAATGAAATTAGGTCCGTCCTATATATTTCGGTCTGGTCCGATCCAAACCTGAATGAAAATAGGTCTGATCTTCGGTCCGTGATTTACTCAATTCAGTTCGGGTCAATCTGATTCGATCCAATCTTGGACCGAAGAACATCCCTTGCCCTCACATTGACCATACCTCACCCATTTTGAGAATATGTTGTGTTTGTCTGTATGAAGTATGAGTGCACCCATGTGGTGGCACTCTAGCATTTTTCAAAAATGAAAGCTTCAAAAAAGGCATAAGGCGTGTTTGGATAGACAGAAAGTCCCGTCTTACAAAGTCCAAATGTGCTCTTCATCACCAAACCGTCTCCAAACAAACCCACAAATTTGAAATCTGACGGAGAGGGAATCCCCTGCATTTATTATTGCGTAGGGTGCTGTTTCCCCTTTCTTCATATTCAAATTTCAAACTCAAACGGTATCCCCTCTCAGCATCCCCTGCGGCCAAAGCAATTTGCCCGTCTCCGCCGATTGGATTTCAATCAGCTCGCGGACATACACATCGATTCTCCGGTTTTTATCCCGGTTAGGGTTTCCGGTGGCTGACTGAGCGGGATGGAGAGTTCCGATTCAAAAGATGCGACTCAGTCCGTGAGAGTCGCCGTGAATATTCGGCCGCTGCTCACTCCGGAGCTCCTCCTTGGCTGCACTGATTGCATCACCGTAGTTCCCGCCGAGAAACAGGTTAGGATAGACAATTTTATTCCACTCGTCATGCACGTCATTGCTCACTGGTTTTGTTGTCTTAGATCTAACACATCGAGTTTGGAAATAGGCTTGATCTACCTGACTGGTTGGGATGTGTTTGAGCAGATAGTTTAGAGTTTCAGGCTAAATCTGTCACTATGGAGTGCGTGATAGATTCAAATCTCACGGATTTATAATTGTTTTACAGGTCCAAATTGGGTCACATGCATTCACATTTGATTATTTGTTTGGGGGTGCTGGGTGCCCGGCTTCTCGTATATTTGATGAGTGTGTTGCCACACTGGTTGAATCTTTATTTCAAGGATATAATGGAACTGTGCTTGCATATGGTCAGGTGCGCCATTCTCTTCAATTTGATTGGACGCATTGCTTTAAAATAGGTTTTGTTGTGTTTGGTTGGATGCATTACTTTACAGTAGTAGTCAATTCAAATGCTTTTTGTGTACATGGCCAACAGACTGGTTCAGGGAAGACTTATACAATGGGCACAAACTATAATGGAGATGACAACAGTGAGGGAGTCATACCTAGAGTAATGGAAACTATATTCTCTAGGGTAAATGGGATGAAGGATTCAACAGAGTTTCTTATTAGGATCTCTTTCATTGAGGTAGAGGAAGTGACCTTGGGTAATTTAATAAGGAATTCATTTTTTATACTTGAACAAAGAACAGATTTAGTGAAGCACTGTCTTTGAATTTGTGGTTTTGCAGATTTTTAAAGAGGAAGTGTTTGATTTATTAGATCAAAATGCAACAGCATCTTGCAAAGGTGAAGGGGCACCACTAGCAAGGGTTGCAGCTCACACTAGAGCTCCCATTCATATTAGGGAAACTCCTAGTGGGGGAATTGCACTTGCTGGTGTTACAGAAGCGGAAGTTAAAACAAAAGAAGAGATGGCTTCTTACCTCTTAAGGGGTGCTGTTTCTCGTGCCACAGCAAGCACAAATATGAATAGCCAATCAAGGTATTGATTTCAGTTTACCTCTTATTAATCACTATTTGTTATGCAATTGTCAATCTATCTTATTTGGTTTTGGTTTCTAATAATTTGATGATATTGTTTTATTGGGCTTGCAGTCATCCTTCAAAAAAAACTGGTCAATTTCTGTAGCATGTTCTATGATATTTTTATCTATGGCATTATTTATTGTTTTTTAATTTACCTTTTCATATTGGTAAGTTTATGAGGATAAAATATAAATACATGTGTGACCAATTTTTTAATGAAAAAGTTTTCATAATGAAATCTCAATGGACAAAACTGGTAAACGCTTTTATAGTTATTAACATCATTGTAGCAATAGTATAACAAAATGCTAAACAAATTTGAATTTCCTATTGTAATTGCAGTCGTTCGCATGCAATTTTTACCATCTACATGGAGCAAAAGAGAATAGGTCCAGCAGCACTCGATGATGTTAGTGGTGACATTTTATGTGCAAAGCTTCACTTAGTTGACCTTGCCGGTTCTGAGAGGGCAAAGCGGACTGGAGCAGATGGAACACGTTTACAGGAAGGTGATAAACTCTTACTTGAAATGTCTGCATATGTTTTTTTAAATTAATGTATTGCTATCCACATAGATATCTGTTGTTTATATTATCTATCATAGTTAGTCTTCTTAGATGCTTCATTTATATGCCTTGTTATTGATTGATTACTTGAGTTCATATTCTGGTTTTCATTTGGTGTAGGAATTCATATCAACAAGGGGCTACTTGCATTGGGAAATGTAATAAGTGCCCTAGGGGATGACAAAAAGCGAAAAGAATGTGCACACATTCCGTACAGAGATAGCAAGTTGACTCGTTTGTTACAGGTCTCTTTTTCTTGCATCTTTGTTAAATGTGGAAGTGTACTATCAGTTTATCACTCTATCACTCATTTTGTGGGTATTTTTTTTTCAGGACTCTCTGGGTGGAAACAGTAAAACCATTATGATTGGTATGTTGTATAAGCTGGATTTTAATATTAATGAGGAATTTGCGTTTGTGTAGTAATATTGTAGGAATACTTCAATTGTAATGGTCACAAGAAATATTCAATGCTAACTTTTTCTTATTATTTTTGTGGTATTTTTTGGGTGCTTGGATGAAGCTTGTGTTAGTCCTGCGGATACCAATGCAGAGGAAACTCTCAATACATTGAAATATGCCAATCGGGCACGTAACATTCAGAACAAAGCAGTTGTAAGTTTCAGTTTTTTATGAACACGCATACAGATTTTATTTGGGTCTCATTTCCTGCCAATGGTAGGTTAATCGGGACCCAGCAGCATCCCAAATGCAAAGAATGAAGAGTGAGATTCAGCAATTGCGGGATGAGCTTCGATGCTTGCGTGGGGATTCCAATGTGCCATCTGAAGAACTCCAGGTAAAAATCTAGTGAATCTTTACAATCATACTTTAGTTAGCACTTCTATTATGATCATATGTTTCATCTGTGGATAAAAATACCACAAGATAGGTGAAAATCAGTATTTTATATAACAAGTTAGCAATAATGGGGTTTCAAATGCCAATGTTATCTTTTCATGTGGAAAACCTATTTATTGTGGTTATTGCAGTGTTTAATGCTTTATTTTAAATTTTTATGCTTTCATATTTCTTTGAACAAACTTGATCTCAGGGATTGAATTTTGTAATGTTTGGAAACAGTTTCATTTACGATTCCATGAACACTTTCTACTAAACAAAGTTGGGATTATACTGAGTTTGTTGTAATTCTATCATCACTTTATTTTTGGTTGTATCAATTTGATGGTTTTATTTATAGGTTCTTAATGCGGCATTACAAAAGGAACTTTTGGAATGCCGGGCTAGCTGTGAGCTCTTGAGGAAACAGGCAATTGACACTCAGGTTCAATATTTAAAACTGTTTTGTACTAACTGCTGTAACGTTTCTTTTTTTCAAGCTACAAGACCAATTTGACAAGGAGTTGGTGTAATAGGTTGAAAGGGATATGCTCATGATTAAACTTGAGCAAGCTCGCCATTGCAAGCAGTTGGATAATGCTGACCCAAATTTAGAACAGGTTCAGACGGTTTACCTCTCTTTTTTGTAGAGTGAATTTTCGTATGTTTTATGTCCAAACATGCATTGTATCATTTTTTGTTTTTTGCTACCTAGAACTTTGACATAATGAAGAAGTATGTTAGTAAAATCCACGAATTAGAAGGAGAATTACATCATCTGCGAAGATTAAACAATTCAAGGCGAAACGTATCTGTTGACTATCTTGTATTGGATGATGATGAGTCTACCCCGAATGGGTCAGCTGATACTGAATCTGAGTTTGACCCAAGAATCAGCGAATTAAATAGTAAGTCTGAACTGAATTGAATCATTTTTGTTCTTTTATTTTGAGTTTCTATGATTTGTGAACCTATCCTCTACAGTTGGATCATTTGAATAGAGAATTATGTTTGTTTTTAACCTCTTTTTCTTAGACTAAAGCAATTCATATGTACTAGCTATGAATACTTCATTTCATCTCTTCTCCCCACCCTTACATCAACAAAAGGAAAAACCTCTCAAATAAATGTTTTAACATGTGCCTTGAAGGTGGAGTAGAAGTTGAGGAGAAAGAGTTGGAGCATTCTTCTCTTCAAGAAAAGCTGGATAGGGAACTCAAAGAACTGGACAAAAAACTTGAACAAAAAGAGGTATACACATATCACATCCCTCACTGACCTGTCTAGTTGGACACTTTGTCTAGTGTTCTCAAGTAAATGCACCAAGCTTTAAAGGGCACTAGACTACTAATACTGGGAGTTGATGAGACCATGATGTTGGATTTGCCTGTGTTAGAGATTGGGTATAGTGAATTTGGTAGATGCTTAAGATGTTTGTTCTCCCTCTCCTTTCATTTGAAAGAAGCATACCACTTCTGAGTGAGAACTGCTTTTTAACACATCTCATCTTTGAAAGGCGGAGATGAAGAGATTCGCGGATGTTGACACCTCTGTTCTGAAGCAACATTATGAGAAAAAAGTTAATGAGTTGGAACAAGAGAAAAGGTCACTGCAGGTAAACTGTTTGTTCGTTTGTGAAATCAACTGCTTATCTTTTTCTTTGTTTCACTTCGGCTTAACTTCCCTTATCATTTCAGAAAGAAATTGAAAAACTTCAACACATCCTTGCAAATTTATCATCGAACTCTGATGATAGTGCTCAGAAACTAAAGGAAGAGTATCTTCAGAAGTTGAACTTTCTTGAAACTCAGGTGAACTTGCTGCTTTTCCCTCTCAGCTAATCCAAGGGTTTATTGTGTTGTATTAGTTTGTGATTGTTGCTTATTTATGAACCTTACTTCCTCTTCAGGTTGCTGAATTAAAGAAGAAACAAGATACTCAATCTCAAATCTTGAGACAAAAACAAAAGAGTGATGAAGCCGCAAAACACCTTCAAAATGAGATTCAGAGAATTAAAGCTCAAAAGGTAAGGATAATGGACGATGTTTAGATGCTAGCACTTGATTGACAGTAACAGATGAATTCTGACCTCTTTTTTTCTGCTTGAACTCAAGGTTCAATTGCAACAAACAATAAAGCAGGAATCTGAGCAATTCAGATTATGGAAAGCATCGCGAGAGAAGGAAGTCCTTCAGGTAGTTTAGTTCTAGGTTATTTTATCTTAGGTTCTTTCCTTTACCTTTACTCTTTATGTTCTTATTTGCAATAGTTCTGCATTTGACATCTTGTCTTTTGTCATTTCTACAGCTTAAGAAGGAGGGAAGAAGAAATGAATATGAGATGCATAAGCTGTTAGCATTTAACCAGAGGCAAAAGATGGTAGAAATGAAAAGAACAACTACTACCAGTACACCTTATATTCTTATTTGTGCTCCTGTTTACATTGTTTTATTTATTTGCTCATTTTTGTGCCATTAACAGGTTTTGCAACGGAAAACAGAAGAAGCTGCTAATGCTACTAGACGACTCAAGGAGTTGCTTGAATCCCGAAAAAGAACACGTGAAGTATCAGGTAAAGTCAGGCCTTCATTGATAGCCCTGTGTACTCTATTAAGAGCCTTATAACTCATTATGCTTTTCATTTATCCAGGCACAAGCAATGGCAATGTCCATGGAAGTCAGGTATCCTATTTAGTTCATTGCATGCTGAGATGATTTTTGTATACTTCTGTGTTTCCCTATGAATATCGAAGCTAATTTTCCCTTCCAATTGCAGGCACTGATGCAGGCAATAGAACATGAGCTTGAAGTCACTGTAAGGGTACACGAAGTGCGTTCAGAGTATGAGCGGCAAATGAAAGAGTGGGTCCTATAATCTATTTGTGGAACCATTTTCTTTTTGAACTATATAAAACACTCAAACTCACATACCATGTCTTGCTTTAATTTCAATATATACATTCTCTTTTCAACTTTTTTTTTACTTTATTTCTGCAGGAGAAAAAAAATGGCCAAGGAACTAGAAGAGTTGAAGCAAGCTAATATAAGGTCTGAATAAAGTTAGGAGATACTCCGAATGATACGACTTTAGTCCCTGTTTAATGAACAATTCTTGTCATCACATTTCCTCATTGTTTGTCATTGGCAGTGATTCTCTACATCAGACAATGTCCCCCGGAGCTATAACTTCAAGAATCCGTGCACTTGAAAACATGATTGCCACATCATCCAATGCTCTTATTTCCATGGGAGCACACCTGTCAGATGCGGAAGAAAGTGGGCAGCGTGAACGAGCTTTTAGCATCCGAGAGCGGTTGAGCCACGTCAAATCTGTTGCCGAATCTAGAGTCATAATGAACTTCTTATACGATCTAGTATCATCATCAAGGTAACATTTTTATCAAAGTTGCAGCATCCCTGTTGTGTCTTGTGATGATCCTTATTCTTATATTACTGGAACTAATTTGTTCTTCATTACTGGTGTTTCCTTGATACAAGATGCCGGTTAAGGGATAGAGAAGTTGATTGCATTGAGAAAGATTCAGAAATCAGGGATCTGAAGAAAAAAGTGGTTAACTTAGTTGGGCAGCTTGAACTGCAAAAGACTGAAATTATTCGTCTGGAGAACTTGATGGTTAGTTACTTCTTCTCAAAAACTTTTCATTCTTTTTAGTACAACACATGTCTAAATACTGGGCAGATTTTACTGGTTTGTTGTGTTGTATGTATAATATAATCAGTATTATTGCTATATGACATTGTGATGGAATCTGTTTTCACTATATATAAAAAACAGTCCAAGCGTACCGTGGACAATTCTGAACTGTGCAAGCCCTCAGGAACTGGTAAAAGCCATATCTATGACCTCAGGCCAAAGGTATTAGTAGTATAATTTCAACTAAAAATGCAATATAGAGTCTTTTTTTCTTTGTTAACTCCTTGTTTATTTACTGCTGTTTCAGGGAGGCCGTAGCTCGTTTGTCTCCCATGTTGGGGGGCCGTCGGAAGAAGATGACATGGACACATCTGATTCCGAAAAAGATTACTCAGACGACGAGTACGTACCACCACGGAGTGATGCGGTGGCGGTGCCTTGCTGTTCGTGCGGCAGCAAGTCATCGTGCAAAACACGGCGGTGGTGCGAGTGCCGTGCTGCCGGACGGCAGTGCGTTGTGTCATGCGGTGCTCACCGGTGCAGCAACAAGGAGGAACACGGACAATGCAGTGAAGAAATGCTGCCGCCACCACCGTCGTCTTCGTCTACGAACCAGATGGATGGCGATGGAGAATCCGAGAAGAAGAACGACTCTTCTGATTTGGTGTCTCATGGCGCCATGTTGCTCCAAACCGCATTTTCTGACAAGTCCTTGGAGCCAAAGCTTGAAGAAGTGCCGCCGCCGGCCACCAGCTTGGATTTTTCCAGAAGAAAGCCACTCTCTGATATCGGAAATACTGTGGTAAGAACTAACCACCTTCTCTCAAAATAATCTTTCTTTTCAAGCTTTAATTCTTACTCTAAACAAATTTAGTCATCCATTCAAAGGGTAAGGGGGTAAAAAAATTGTTACTCGTTAAATTTTTTCACTGGGTTTATACTTCTTAGTTTTGACATGAGAGAATATATGGGTATGAACAGGTGAAGCCGAACGCGCCAAAACCACCAAGAAAAACATGGCGGAAATCCGTGAGGAAATCTGTTATTCAGCTGGTTCCCGTTGAAGGACCGCAAACTTCCGAGCCTTCGACCAAACCAGACGCCACTGCGGTAGAGAATGCGGCCACGCCCCTGCCGCCGACATTGAAGCTGCCGCGTGCCATCAGCTCGACATTATCGGACAACAAAGTACTGAAAGAGCGGAACGCCGGCGATTCTTCCTCACTTTATCACCACCGGACGGGCGGGGGAGAAGATAAAGAGAACAAGTGAGAAACTGGGTGGGAACTCTTATCTATTCTTTGAATTTGTGTAACTTGTATTGTACTTCACAATTCACATTTTCTCTAAATCATTTTATATATACTCTCACATTGTAAGACCATTGTGTCAGTCTGCCGTGTCTAACATATTTGGTCTGGATTTTACCCTAAGCATTTTGCTTAGTGTGAATGATATCCAGGCTTGTTTGCCAATTCTTTTTCCATTCAATTTAATGGACTGTGCGATTAAATATAAGGAACACACAGAGTGTAATGGCAAACATTTTCTATATTTAATAAATATTTGCTAGGCGAGAGCTACAAGCTTGAACTGTTTCTTTGATATTCTATGGTAGACTTGTTGACTAAGAGTTCATGAGATTCGAACAAAGCAACGCCTACACGTGAGAGGGCATGTTAGAATATAAAAATATTTTCTGGACCACAATCGCAAGTTTGAACTTTTAATTGAATTGATTACTAGACACTTAGGACATGTTCTTTAGGACTCGTAAAAAAGAGATGGATGTTGGAAGAAACTGGAAGAAACTTGAAGAAATTGGAAAAAACTGAAAAAAATTAAAAGAAATTGAAAAAACTAGAAAAAATTGAAAAATCTAAAAAAAGTTTTTAAAATTTTTTTTATGTGTGGTTTAATATTATTCTCATTCTGATTCTTGTTGTTATAAATTATTATTGTTGTTGTTGTTGGTGGTGGTGGTGGTGGTAGTGGTGGTGTTATCACGTTATCTTAATGATTGTCTTTAAGATAAAAAAACATTATGAGTATTATTTATCATATATAAAAAACTAGTTTAAAAAATAATTTGAATATAAAATTCGCATAAATATTAAACTTCTTGAGTCATTTTTTTTCTTTTTCAAAATGTAGTTTACTCTTGGTTTTCATAATGTAGTACTCCCCACCACATTCCATACTTTATATTTTAGACTAAAATATTGATGTTTATCTTATACTCCCTCCGTCCTATAATGATCTTCCCGGTTCGCAAAACGAAGAAAAATCCCAAGTTTTTTCAATCTATTTTATTTAAATATTGGTATAGAAATAAAAAATAAAACATACATATTTAAAAACTACACCAAAAGTTCAACAAAACAAGTGGTGACAAGAATATTTTATTTTATCATATAGGCCATGAAAAAACATAAATAAATATAAATTTCCGTGAAGTTGGAATAGTGCTCTGGAAAGATCATTATAGGACGGAGGGAGTATAAATTTAGATTAATAAATATTCTATATAACTATTTATCCATAACTTTTTAAATAGTTTCCTAATTTTTCATGTAGATTAATATAGAAAAAAACGGTATTATCCATACTAAAAAGTTGAAGAAACTGAAAGAATGAATGTGAATCATAAAAATAGTGAGATGAAAAAATAAATAATTTATAAAATATAGTTATGAACATAAAAGTTGTAATTAAAAAAGTTGTAATAATAATAATATATTTTTTAGAGTGATTTGTCAGAAAATAGAAAGAATTTGAAGAAAATAAATATAGTTGGAAGAAATTAGAAGAAACTAAAAAAAACTGGAAGAAACTGGAAGGATTTGGAAAAAACTAGAAGAACTGGAAGAAACTGAAAATTAAAAGTTCAAGTTCTAAAGAATATGCCCTTAGTAAAAATATCTAAAAATATGTTATCATTCCTTTCCCATTAGAGCAGTGGTTATACCTGTAACGCCGACCGGCGTTATTGCCATTTTCATGCCCAGGGGGCGTTAAACACCGCCCCCGGGGCTTCACTGCGGCTTCACAAGACCCGTGTCATTGATTTGACGCCGTAATCCCCCCTAACGGCTATTATAGCCGTTGAAAGCAAAACAAAAAGAAAAATTTAATTATTTTATATAAATTTCAAACTTCCCCCTCCCGTTCTCACACCTTTAATCTTCTTTAATCTTTTTCACATATTTTTCAATTCTCCAACTCTCTTTTAAAAAATGAATCCTTCGGGCTCCAGCTTCTTCTCAGACGATCTCGAGCCTCACGAGCACGCTATGTGGTATTTCCAACAATACAGGAATCATCCGCCGATGTTCGAGACACAACAATCAGGGTACGTCGAGCGAGAGTCGGTTCCGGACACTCAACCGGGACCATCCGGCACCAAAAAAAGTGCACGCCGGAAAAGCCACAAAGGAGGAAGAATGCTTATTGGCGTTGGCTTGGGTTGACGTCTCCGAGCATCCTATCGTTGGTAAAAATTATATGTTTTCAAATATATTTATGTTTTTATTTATATAAAATTATATATAATCGTGTTATAAAAAATATTTTCGTGTTATACTTTTTTAAAGGTTCGGAGCAAACGAAGGATGTGATGTGGGATTGTATCGAGGAGAAGTTCTGCACGACGATGAACAAAGACGACTCCTACCGTACCCGGGACCAACTCACTTCCAAATGAAGCCACATCAACCATAAAGTCCGAAAGTTTATCGGGGTTTACGAGGAATGCATCCGGTCCTGGAGGAGCAGGACGAGCGACGCCGATGTTCTCCGGCTTGCCACGACCCGGTATCAAGATGACGAGCACCAAGGCAAGGTGTCCATCGATCTTTGGAGGATTTTGAGCCGTTTCCTGAAGTGGCAACAACTCAACAATCTCGACGGCAGATCGTCAAAGAAAAGATCCTCCGTCGACGCCGAGGTTGAGGTCGATGACACTATCGGTTCGTCCAAACAAATGCCTCCTTTCAACGTTGCGGATTCCGATGACGAGGACCCTATTCCACGGCCGATCGGAAGAAAGAAGACAAAATCCATTGCCTCAGGTTTTGGAGGGTCCCGCTCTGTTTCCGTTTCTTCTCGCGACGATATCGGTCGGGCAATGGTTGAACAACTTCAGGTGTTCAATATTCGAGAAGAAGAGAGGATGAAGCGAAAAGCCGAGAAGGACGAGATCAAAATCATGAAAACTGACCTTTCTACGTTATTAGGCTTCAAACGGATGATCTTCGAGAGAAGACAAAAAGAGATCAAAGCCAAATATAATTTACCTTAGTTTTTTCATTAATGTATCTTTTTTATTATTGTCGCTTTCTTTTTTTTAATTTAATGAATGTAATTTTTTAAAATTATTTTCGTTTCAATTTCTTTAAATTTAATGAATGTATTTTTTTTAATTATTCTTGTTTCAATATAATTAAATAATAAAATAATTAAATTTTATTAATTTAGGTTTAGATGTATATTTAAAAATGTAAAAAAGAAGGTTTGAAGCCTAAGTTTGAAGCCCCGGGGCTTCAAACCTATTTCCACTAAATCTATGAGGTAAGTTAAAGCTGACATGACAGGTAGAGAAATTTTGAAGCCCTGGGGCTTCACGGGTATTTCCAGTGCTCTTACGGGTAGAGTGAGGGGAGTCAAGATACTTCACAGAATATTATAGGGAGTGGATTGGAGTTAGTCTAGCCTACATAGTAAGCCTAACAATTACTCCCTCCGTCCACAAATAAATTTTACATTGCGCGTTACGATGTTTGACTGAAGTTATTTTCAAATCATTTTATATGAAAAATGGTGTAGAATTCAAAAATAAAAATTACATATTTAAAAACTACGGAGTATATCAAAAGATCTACAAAACTAGAGGTGACATGACTATATTATTTTATCAAAAGGGTGACGAAAATAGGCCAACAAAGTGAATAAAGTTTGACCCTGTGAATAGTAAACGTAAAGTTTATTTGTGGACGGCGGGAGTAAAACCTAATCTTGGCCCTCAAGGGGTTTTGTGTTATATTATTACATTTTATTTATTTTAAAATCATTATTAATGTACGAAGAACAATAATAAAATATGTTCATTCATTAAATATATTTCTAATATATATTGTATATTGATTAAATAAAATAATATTTGAAATTATTTTATACAATAAATCTAATAAAATTATTTTTATATTAATATATAACATTTAATTTCAGGTTAAAGTTTACCAATTTTGATTTAAAAGTCAAAAGAACACTGAGACAATGAGAGTATTAACTTTCCAATTCGGAAATCAATGGGGTAGACGCAACAATCATCTTTAGAGGTTAATATAAACATTTTGAGAAAGCTATTTGATTAATAACAATTTTTATTGTTAATATTTTTAAAATTAATTTACATTATTAAAATTTTATACAAAACATCAACACTAATAAAAATATTATTCCGGAAAAAGGCATTAAACGTATAACCATTTTATTAAGTAAAAGGAGATACATTTATAAATTTTGACTATGATTAACCTGAGTACAAATTAATTTACTCTTACTCTCTACACTCCCATACAATTTACTTTTTAGTGAACAAATTCATTTTAAGATTTAGTTTTAGAATAAATACTCTCTTTGTGTCAAATTAATCTTCTTCTTTTTCTCTTTTGTTTGTTCCAAAATAAACTTCTCATTTCCTGAAAGAACTGAATAAGTGTTTCATGTTAACTCTCTCTTCTCTACAAATTTTAACCAAATAATTTTATTTTTTCTTAAGCTACGTGAAAAAGTAAATGTGAAAATTAATTTGAAACGGAGGGAGTATATAGAATTTATACATGAATCTTTTAGTACTCCGCAGTTACAATTATATTACAGTCCTGTTCTTTTGAATTAAAATTTTAAGGTTAGATGTTAGAAGATATTGAAAGTTGGAAAATGTTAGAAGAATTAAAATGTTAAAAAGTCACTCAATCAAATGATCACCTAAATAAGTTTGGAAGAAAATTCTAAATTGGGATTTTAAAAAATTCATTCTTTTGCGTGTTTGAAGTGGTATGTTATAGTTTTGGATATGTAATATAATTTTATATTATCATATATAAATACCTTTTTTTAATTCATTGTTAGAAAAAGTTAAAAAGAGTTAAAAATTAAGTCTTGGTATTTAAACAAAACATTCCAAATGAAGATTAAAGCAACAACGATCAAAGAATAGATGGTGCCAAAATATATAGTCACCATTGAAGTGACAAGAAGTCCCATGTTAATAATAATGTATACTCCGTATTTTTAGTCCACAACTACAAGTGAGGCGTAAAATGAAAGTTATAATAATAATACTCTTTTATTTATTTTGTCCCAAAAAAGTGAGAAGTGCATGACTTTATTCACTTTATCTAAATATTTTTTTAAATATTTCTTGAATATTACGTGGCTCAATTTCTCAAATGATTTTTTTTCTATGGAGTATT